ACTCTTGTGGGACACTCTTGTAGGACACTCTTGTGGGATACTCCTGTAGGACACTCTTAAGGGCCACTCTTGTGAGACACTCTTGTGGGACACTCTTGTGGGACACTCTTGTAGGAAACTCTTGTGGGACACTCTTCTAGGACACTCTTGTGGGACACTCTTGTAGGACACTCTTGTGGGATACTCTTGTCGGACACTCTTAAGGGACACTCTTGTGAGACACTCTTGAGCGACACTGTTGCGGGACACTCTTGTGGGACACTCTTGTGGGACACTCTTGTGGGACACTCTTGTAGAACACTCTTGTGGGACAGTCTTGTCGGACACTCTTGTGGGACACTCTTGTGGGACACTCTTGTGGGACACTCTTGTGGGACACTCTTGTGGGACACTCTTGTAGGACACTCTTGTGGGACACTCTTGTGGGACACTCTTGTGTGACACTCTTGTAGGAAACTCTTGTGGGACACTCTTGTGGGACACTCTGGTGGGGCACTCTTATAGGACACTCTTGTGGGACACTCATGTGGGACACTCTTGTAGGACACTCTTGTAGGACACTCTTGTGGGTCACTCTTGTAGTAAGGACACTCTTGTGGGACACTCTGTGGGACACTCTTGTGGGACTCTCTTGCGGGACACTCTGTAGGATACTCTTGTGGGACAGTCTTGTGGGTCACTCTTGTGGGACACTCTTGTGGGACACTCTTGTAGGACACTCTTGCGGGATACTCCTGTAGGACATTCTTGTGGGACACTCTTGTAGGAAACTCTTGTGTGGGTCACTTGCAGGACACTCTTGTAGGACACTCTTGTGGGACACTCTTGTAGGACACTCTTGTAGGACACTCTTGTCGGAAACTCTTGTGGGACACTCTTGTAGGACACTCTTGTAGGACATTCTTGTAGGACACTCTTGTGGGACACTCTTGTAGGACACTCTTGTGGACGATCTCCGCAGAGGGTTGCGCGCGCATGGGACAAATCGCACTCTCGCCTGCACTTCGCGCGCTCGACGCGCACGATCTCCGCAGAGGGTCGCGCGTGCATGGGTCAAATCGCACTCTCGCCTGCATTTCGCGCACTCGACGCGCACGATCTCCGCAGAGGGTTGCGCGTCAAGTCTCCAAAACGAGCGTTTCGTACGAGACTTCCTCAAAAACTCACACGTCAAAGTCTGCAAAACGAGCGTTTCGTACGAGACTTCCTCCAAAAGTCAAGCGGAAACACCCATCGGAGCACACACATCACGCAGCCCTGCCAAGCAGTTTCGCGATTCCAGCCCCTCCAAACAACATCCGCTCACACGCCAATCCCAATGTGACAGCGACATTCACCTCCACCACAACTCACAACCTCACGATTCCCTGCGCCTGCCACGAATCTTTCCCCATCCACACGTCTAACGCGCGCAAAGTACTGCGCCTGCCACGAAATGTCACCTCCGTCACACCTCGCAACCTCACGATTCCCTGCGCCTGCCACGAGAATCGCACTTCCATGCTTCAAAACCCGCACAAAGTCCTGCGCCTGCCACGAAAAGTCACAATAGCATCGCATGTGAGCTTCAACAAAATTTGCACCACACCACACGTTTGGAATGATTTCGACCCGTTCAGAGAACACTCCCATCCAGCAAAATCGCCATTTCAGCTGAGACTTGTCACGAAAACAGAGCTTCGATGCCACACCCTGAAACGCAAATCCCAATGGCACGGCCACATCCAACACCCCAAAAACACGACTCTCCAAACGCTAGTCCCAATGGAACTGCGCCGTATTCTGCGGATCTCACAAAACGCTGCGCCTGTGCAGCGAAGTGCATCACGTTTCTTGCGCGACATGTCCGTGTCACGCAAATCACAATGGAATAGCGGCGCAAACTGACACGTGACACATCCATGCAAAGTCACTTGCATAAGCTTCCCCCAATGGCAGCAAATTTGAGACGCGACGACGACGAGAGACGACGACAGACGACGAGAGACGACGACAGACGACGAGACGACGCAAGCCACGAGAACACAGCTCCAACCCCCAGACCCCCAACTATAAACGGGAACCCTTCGCTACGCATTCGGGAAAAAGGACGCCCCCAAGCAACTCAAAGGTTCCTGACTGCATTCTATGTCCTCTCCAGGAGTCCCCATATCAAGACGCAGTTGTCAAGATGAACCCCCCGCAACTGTCCTCCTACGTTGTCCGAACGCTCTCTATGAGAAAGAGACTCTGGCCTGCAAAAATCTCGCCGCTTCTGTCTTCTAACTGGATGGACGCACCTGGCTAGCCTGATCAGCTCCCTCAGTGGGAGATGACCTCTCTCCTGAGCACTTCGTGAATCCTCTACCCAAACCCCCACCCCTATTCAATAGACAGGCTAAATAGTCTCCTGAGCACTTCGTTATGCTAATGATGCACTATTCAGCGTCATTGGCATCCCAAGACCCCTAACACATACATTTTCACTACCTTTTTGACCTCTTTTTCGCGCTGCCCACCAAGCTCTGGGTTCACCCTACCCGGCGGGACTGCGTTTGCGACAACCCCCCCACACCCCCCTATACTCACTTCGTTCGCCCATCGACAACTCCAGCCTAGCCTATCGGCTGGCTTTCATCATATATATATATATGTATATATACGTATTTTACTATATTTATAATGCTTTTGGCTTTTGATGAGCATGATGAGACTTGGGACACTTGTTGATGCCTTGGAGCTTCCAGCTGCAAGCGCCAGGAGTTGCCAAACACCTCCAATGAGTGCAAATTGCGGGTGGTGATTTTGACTATCACTAGTCACTAATCCAGCTTCAAAGTTGCCTCCCTGGCCAGCTTCTGCCTTGGGTTAAAGAGAACTTCGGACGATTCTCCGACTTTGGGGAGACTGCCCATGTCTCAGATGGTGTTCACTTGACGACTTGACATCACTTAACTTTAAACCCCATTTGAGGTTGGATGGATCTGGCTGAACAGCAGGAAGGATCTGTTTGAGCAGGCTTGAGTTCATGGATTCAAGCTTTGTGCTTGGCTTGACTCTGTGACAGCTGAGTACAGCTTTTGGCTAGAAGGAGCTCTTCCTGCAATTAAAATCCCAAGCTGCCAACATTGAGGCCAGGAGCGAAAGCCGCAATGATGACCACCTGTCGGAAAGCGCCATCTCAAAGTCTTGATCATCGGAAAGGACTTAGGATGGTCATCTCCACCTGAGCAAGCATTTGTCTCCATCTCCGGACTGCGATGGTCATCCTGGACTTCCTTCAGCTCCGAAACAGAGCTGCATGGTGACACGTCAGTCAGACTTGGATCTCAAGTAGGTCCTTGCCACTTCCTCTCTGAGTTGCAAAGCAGCTTGTTCGCAAACTTGCCTCAAAAGATCCAACCCTCAGTTTGAGCTGTTTGCCTCGTTAAAAAAAAATAGAAGCGAAGTGGACACCAAGTATATTATATATTTTGTTTTACACGATTCTTTTCCGTGCAAATGCGTGCTAAAAGAGTTGGCGGATGTCTTGGGAACCGCCTGGGCATGAATCTTTGAGCTTTTTGCTCACGGAGTTCTGCCCGTCCACGTACCGGCCTCGAGCATGGCACTTGAGGCATTCTGCCATCATGCCCTGTCGCTGCATTCTATGCGACTTGTGGCCGGCCCACTCGGACGGAGAGAGAAGTCCAAAGTGGCAAACTTCTCCAACAAAAGTCTCAAATGCAGACTCGTTCGTTCTGGCAAGAACGTAGGAACGACACTTTGTACACCTTAAGTACGCACGGTCAAGCTTCAAAAAGTGAATGCCGTCCTGTGGTTCTTCCTGAGCGTCGATGAGTTGCTGTATCACCGACATTCTCGGAGCTTTGGGGGCCTTGAAGATCTCCGGCTCCGCGCAAGCCTTGGCAATGGCCTGCTTGATCTCCTGGAGGAGGCTTTTCACGTGGATCTTGGTCCTGCATTGGGAGCATTGCGCACCACTCCACTGGTGTCCTTGATGCTCCTTGTTCTGAAGCACATGTGCTATGAGGTCCCTTTTTTGCTTGACAAGTGGGATGCGGCCCTGAGGATCGACTTCAGTCTTCTTCTTCAAGAAGTGATTGGGATCCCTGAGGAGGATGTCCATGCGCTCTGCTGCAACCATAAGGATGTCTCCAAGGTCCTCATCAGTGGCCTTCTGGTAAGCCAAGAAATCTTTTGGGACTTCTTCTCGAGCTCGCTGTTGTGCGAGGGCTTTGATGGATCTTTGAAGGGCCTTCCTGGTTCTCATGCCCTCTTCTTGTTGGAGGTGGTTCATGAAGAGGAGTGGCCTCAGCGTGTCAAAGTCCTCAAATTCCAGACCATGATACAAGTCAGGGAATTTCTCATAGGCGACATGTGGCGTCCACGCTTTCCACAATTGAAGGCTGGAGACCCCGACGTGCGCCTGGTCGAGGATGTGGAGAGCCAGTTGCTTGGTGGCATAGAAAAGAGCCATCAATTTGGTGGCTTCCCCGGACAAATGCCAGTGATTGATGCAACACATTCTTTAGTTGCAATCTCGTAGACGCCGATGGCGAAAGTGTATTGTTGATGCCTCTTGTCCGCACATGTGACGGCCACATCAAGGCAACAGGCATGACCATGGTTGACTCTGCAAGGATGAAGATCTTGCCATTTACCAGTGCCGATGAAGGTGGAAGGTCCTCCATGACGTTCCAGGAAAGCCTTTTGGCACAGGCCACGATTCCATAGCTCAGGTTCAGAATTTGTGGTGATTCGATCTTTCCATTCATCAGGGATGTCCTTGACCTTGCCCTCCCAAAAGCTGCACTCCCAAAGGAGGTGGACAAAGGTGAGCTCTCCTGACCCGATTCCACAGCCTGTAAAGACACGAAGTCAAAGCAATGGGCCTCTCCACTTTGGGGTTCTTTGGAATCATGACAATGCTGACCATGCGCAGCTGAGTGGGCAACAGTGCTTCCTGCTCCATGGTGTTCAACAATTTGGCCAGTTGGGTGACAGCTTCAAAAGGTAGCTGTTTGAGGAAGTCATAGGAGATCCCATCCGGGCCTGAAGCTTTGTTTGGCAGTTTCTTGATGACTCTTTGGAGGCTGATAGGATTGATGGCCTGCATGTCTCTGGCCTTCACGAAGTTCTCGGAATCCTCGAATGACACAAGGCTCATCAACCGGTTGCCATATGCTTCCCCATTGCTCCAATCGAGCTTGTAGACGCTCCCAAATGGGAAGATCTTGAAATGGCCTCTGCCATGGGATGTCTTTCTGTCTCAAAGTCCTGAAAAGACCTCGAAGACCTTTGGAGTGAGCATTTTGTAGCCATAATTTGTACTCTTCGGTGTTGGCCAGCGCAACCCCAACATGAGCTTGGTGTTCTTGAGAAAGGACCAAGTTCTGTAAATGTTGAGGATCATCTTGGGGATTCTCCAGCCAAGTCTTGATGAGGTCCAGGAACTCGTCTTGATTGAGATCCTCAGAGCTGTATTCCTGAACGCTGTTGAGCATGAACAGGAGGTCCTTTTTGACCCCTTCTTGAGGAGCATGATGCATGACGTTGATGCGGACCGCCATTTTCTCCCAGTAAGCTGGTCTCCCTTTCTTCCAAAGCTGAATTTGATGTGGTCCTTGAAGGGGAGCAGTGAAAAGTTCCACCCGCGAGCCTCTTCCCAATCTCGGGTGCTGCAACTGCTGTGCGAGATAAAGTTCGGACTGGGTGCACCATCTGGCTAAATCTGTGCCAAGACCAGTGATCTGGTAGTTCAAGATGTGGAAGGGACCATTTTGTTCCGGGAAATCTGTCCACGGGATCTCAGCAGAGAGAGCTCTTCCATTGGGTGGAAAGGTGCGCAATTGCTGGACAGGAATGGCTTGATTCTGACATGTGAACATGGCAATGAGGGCACAATGAGGTCTCCAGGGGACATCCCAAACGTTCTCAAGAGATATCGCCCCTGCCAGCTCATTTGAGACAAGGAGATAGTCCAAATGGCTGCCCTGTAAGGTAGTGGGACCTTCGGATGCCCTGATGTGAGCCTTGAACTTGCTCTGGATGACCGTGGCTGCCAGTTCAGACGGAGGATTCTGCCAATCACCCCCAATGATGAAGGGCGCCTTGAGGTTGTCCAAAAACCCGAAAAGGTTGGCCAAGAGTTCAGCATTGGTGGCCGATTGGAGACTCTCACCTGCTTTGAGATAGAGCTGAATGATGGCGATGTGCATATCCTCACGCTGAAGACCAACTGCCATCCATCCATTGCCATCAAGATCAAAGTGCCGAAGGTCATGAACATGATGATGTGGGGGATGAAGGCATAGGAAACCTCCAGTGGTGCCCCCCTTTGTCGGTGTTGGCGGCTGGTAGCGCGATGCCCTTCCAGCCCCGGACAATGAAGTACTGGAGGGCCTCGTTGGTCTTCTTCTCATTGAGGTGAGTTTCCTGAAGGAAGAGGAGGTGGTCAGCCTTGGACCAGACCCAGTCCTGAACCTTCTTCCCAAAGGTGGTGACATTGGCAAAACACAAGTTGATCTCATCATAGTGTGTTTTCTTTTTTTTCGGAGGGGGGCTTTCCTCAGCCACAAAGTCAACCTGCATCTCGTCATTGGGATCGAGAATGAGCCAAAGTTGGATGACTTCTTTCCCATGTTGTTCAGTCAAAGTGCGGATGGGTTTTGGGAAGGTGTTGTCATCCACCAACCAGTAGGCGTTGTCAACAGCATGTATGGCCATGAAGTGCCCACTGTCATGCGTTTCCCCTTGATGCAGCACCATGGCCAGGACTCGGTAATAGGCTTTGGCGACCGCGATGCCATCGTTGGAGTAGGGGAGGAAAACTTCGGTGGGAATGTGGAGCTCCCTGTGATGTTTTGTCCATTGCTGCTGCACCAGTTCGAATCTCTGAAGATGAAGTACGAGGCATTCAGGCTGTCCGTAAAGATATTGTCCGTTGGCTTCATCCGCCCAAGAGTTGAGCAGGGTTTGGAGGTCTATCTTGTTGACCCCTGGTGGGAAGATGATGTTGAGTGGGACTTGTTCCCTTTCTTCTAAAATGCCATTGCTCCTGACATGGAAGAATTTACTTCCAATGGCGATTGGCTTCGCAAGGGTATATTATATATATATAAGTATATAATATATAAGTATATAATATATGAGTTTTTTATGTACAAGATCCATCAAAGAGATGTTTTGCTGACAGCCCACGCTTCCTCCTGCAGCTTAGCTTCCCTCGACACGAGTTGGTCGGAGCAGGTGTGGCAGGTCTGTCGAAGGGTCAACAAAAAAAATTCAGTGCCTTTGCCGCTCTCTTTGCTCATACCACATTCTCCGCTCGTCCGCTAATTGTGTAAGGCGGCCTCGAGAAGAAAAACAGGTTCGATCAACAACAAAGCCAGCAACAACTCTTTGGTATTGGTTTAGGTTCACAGGTTCATAAGTTGGGCTTTGGCTCATGTTCACAGGCCGCTTCTTCCCTGATGCCTGGACAGTGACATCGAAGAGCGAAAGTAGAGTGATGGGAGTTCTGGAAAAATTCGATCAAAATAGAAAAACAAAACAAATGAACACCGAATCAATCTCGCCTCCTCGGCTTCCTTCGGAGCAGGCTTCTGTGCCAGGCGTTCGATGTACTGCCAGCGTGTGATTCATGATCTGCAGGAACAAACATTTTACGCTGTAATAATTAAGATTAATTAAGCATGATAAGCTGTGAGCTTCTTAACTTCAAGGAAAAGATTCTCAGAAGATTTGACATGGATGAATTGGATGAATCAAAGCAGTCCTCTGGATCATGAGCACGGACAGCTTTGATTGGCGCTGGTTCTGAGGCCTGGAAGTCTCAGGAAATCCGATCGTTGGTCCAAAAAGGTGCCGGTCCAAGTTCCGCCATGCCTCCCGGCGAGCATTCTCGCGCCGCTTGGCATCCTCGTAAAGGTAATTATGTACGTCAAAGTTTTGAGCCGGCCTCAGAGCATCTCTTTTAAGACCCAATTCCACTTAAATAGAGTCTGAATGTAAGGAGACATCAAGTCACAGGCCGTGCAGCTTCCACTTGAGGGGCATCTTTCTGTAATTTTAACATCTCCTCAGAAACAGTAACTACCAAACCGAGAGATTACAAGAACACCTCGCCACGTGAGGGATTCAGGATGATGACAATGGCTGTCAGGAGAAACATGCGTCCTCCACCTTCTTCTCTTGTTCTTCTCTAAGTCGCTTGAAAACCTGAGACCACTGGGTAAAATTCCATCATTTCACTACGTAGAGGATGCAAAAGTAACAAGCGCCCTTAGTTTTTTGAGTCTCAAGGCCAGAACTGCAAACGACAGTCAGTAAATGCACATCTCTGGTGTGTCCACAAAAGAAATGATGCACAGAGGAATCAACAAAGGAATCATCGAGGCATTTAGAGTCCAAGCAGGTGTCTCAGTGGCCATTTGCTTGGCGCTTGGCAGCAGGTGTCTCAGTCCAGACTCGGCGCAAAGTCCGAAAACCTCGCCATGTCAATGTGACCAGTCCGCGCTTGATGGGAAAAGAAAAGGGTGACGAATCTAAGAAGGGGGGGAGGTAGGTTAGCTAGAGGTAGCTAGTAGGCAGAGGTAGCTACTACCTACAAGTAGCTACTAGTAACATCTAGAATCTAGTAACTGGACGCAGGATAGCTCACGCTCATGATTTGGTTTCTACAGTAGATTCTGAGGGAAACTTAATGATGAGCCGAGGCGCCACTTTTCTCTGAATTGGCACCCTTCTTTCCTGTCAGAAATCCAATGCAGCTGAAGATCCCCGGTGCACTCTCTGGCGCACTTGGTTCTTAGTGCGTCTAAGTCTTAGCCTAAGCAATATGTATTGTGTTTCTTTTCCTGTAGTAGTAACAAGCACTTCGTGAAGCAGTTTGTGTGCGTGTCTGTATCTGTGTTCGCCTTCCGATGTAGATGGAAGATCCTCTGCGCGTGCTGCTACCAAGTACAGCCACCTGGCTCTCCAACCAGAATACTGTGGTGAAAAAGTACAGCATGTACACCGTTTTTAAACGAGATGTTGCGCTGCTTGGATAGGTGTGCCAAGAACCACAAAGCACATGACTTATGGGCAACAAGGCAGGTGAAACTTCAGCGCATCAACTTTCACCTCAGCAATGTGTCTCTACAACACAGCATCTCTAGGACAGCTTGTTCATTGCATGAATCGTCGTCAATCATCACCAAGCTCCAAAATCTGGGGCTGTCACAACAGCGTTAGCCGAATGATGGGAATGGCAGCCTAGAAAAGCTTGTGCTGGCATGACCAGCACAATCTCCTTAGGCCCAGGCCTGGCTCGCCATGGCAAAGCATTTCGAACAGCAAAGGAGCCTGGCTGAAGAAAGTTCAAGACAAAACCTCTCCGTTCGAAAGCTTTTGCTGGGCGCTTTTCATCATGTTGTCTGGTCGTTCCCGTCTGGGCCTCTTCAGGAGTCGCAAGCTTTTGCAGGACCACCGCACACACGAACTCCCGGCGAGTCAGCCTGCAAGCAAAACAGGACAGAAGATATACAATATATAAATTTGGGACGAAAGGAACCCCAACCACCAAAATTGAGGAAAGTTAAAGGCCCCATGAAAGGAGTTGAAGCTATGGCTATCAGGTAGTTAGTGTTGTAGTGTTTGCTATTGTGGTTGTCACTACTTAGGGCTTTTGCTTTTAGGATGCAATGTCTTCTCGTGGTAGGACTCAGCTCCACAACGACCACTCTCCTACCAGATTTGAATAGAAGAGGAACCAGGGAACCTGCCCCTGGCCTGTAGGAGCGGTCCAAATCCAGGATACGGAGCATGGAATGGGCCACCAAATCGGGTACTGCATTGCGGCAATAAACGAAGCCCAAAATGGAGTTCATGAAATCTATGTGAGTCTATATTTTGAGTCTATCTGATATGAGTCTATAGTCCGTTTCGTTGGAAGTCTTTTTCATCACTCTTTCACCGAGACATACAGCATTCACGTTCAAAGGACACGGCCTTCAGTGCTGGTGTATTTCTTGGGGAAGCCCAACTCTAGAGCACGCGATAGGAGAGCTGCACGAAATCGCATCAGGATCGCCTGCAACTCTGACCAAAGTGTCAGAGAGTTCCATGTGTCCCACTGTCGACGGCTCGACGACTGCTTTCTTTGGTGACTATATTGCCAAGCTTGAGCTCGTCCCTCTTTCTCAGATTCAGGACGTACCATCGATGATGCCAATGTCTTGGACTATGGCAACATTGCATTGTCATTATTCGCTGCAGGCGACGGCTAAGGCCGCACACAGCTCGAAATACAAGGAACGCGCCAAAGCATTCAATTAAATGGTGGCGCTGCCATCCTTCATTCCGCTCACTGGGACAAGAAGCGCACTACTGACCTTCACTAGCACAAAGCAGAGAGAGAGAGAGAGATCATCAAAGTGAATGAAAGAATATCAAGAATGTTGTCTCTCACTGTCTTGTACAGGAACAGTCAAAAGCAATGAAAGTCTTGCACCTCAACTCCCTGCATCTTTTGAGCTCGAAACACCTGGGGCGCAAAGATGAGAACTGTCTGTCCCAAAATCTGGGAAACGTTCGTTTAAAGCGAGGGGATCTTCAAGGAAACGCTTCACATCCTCTGGTGTACTTGATGCTGGGTGTTTTACTTGGCTTTCTACCTTTTCTACCGTCCCCCTTCCCCCCTCCCTGGAGGGCAGTTCCTCCTCTACCAACAAAGAATTAGATAATATTAGATAGTTCGTTGTTTGTTGGTTGTCTGCTTCTAATGGCCTCCAACCCAATAGCGACGGCCTCCATCCTACTAGCGACGTTGTCTTCTCATAGATGGTCCGCACCTTTTTGCAAAAGCAATGCTTTCAGGTCATGGAGCTCTTCCAGCATGAAAGCCTGACGAGGAACACATGAGTTGAAGACATGGCCATACTCAGGCAAGAAGGGAATTGCAGAGAAATGGCACAAGAGCAAAACAGTGGTTCTCAGATGAGCTTCCACATCCAGGCTTCTTGCAGCACCCTTCAAACGTCCGACACCGTAAACCAGTTCTTCCAGGGTCAACTGCCCATCTCCTTAAAAAGTGTCCAGGAGATGCAAGTATCAACAAAGGGAATCGAGCAATAAAACACTGTGGCATGTTGACTTCAAGGCACCGCACACTGGCAATATGTCCCTACTAATTACCAGCAACATTTCCATTTTTTTGTGTAAGCTGCCAAGCCTCTTTTATCTCGGTCGATTAAATAGAACAGCTTACCAGCATCGGAAACATCCAGTTCCATTGAGGACAACCATGCCGAAACTTCTTTGTGTGCTGTCATTGTTTGAAACTCTTCCTCAGATCGTAGAGGTGAGGTTTGCCCAACAAAATGTTCAGTTCCAAATCGTCGGCAAACATATAAGCCAGTGTGCCTCCAATCCATGCGCAGCTTCAAGTGCATGAAATAATCAGCATGAAAAAAGGAAAACTGTAGTTTTGGGATGTTTTAGGTTGCAGCGAAGGATCCAAATCAATGCTTCCATTTTTGGATTTGTCGGCCAAGTCGAAGAAGCGTTGCATCTTCATCTTGTGGGTATGGAGCATGCGATTTCGCTTCTGGATCATGACTCTGTCGTCGGAGGAAGCTACGCTGAACGTTTCTTGCATGAACACCCCATTCACCTTTGCTCTGAGTGAGTGTGAACAAGGAAAGGAACCGCAATCGAAGGTGCCTTGTCTGCCTGCACCCTTTCAACCGTTTGTTTCGTCCATGCAAACTGTGGGCAACTCTGCGAGATTTGTTCATTGGGTTGCTGCAAAAATTTCCTTGCAACATCTATTCTTAAGCCACCGGCATTCTTCTGGGGCCGCCACTGGGAAGTGAAGAACCACCACTCACACGAAATCACACGAATACGGTACGTTTACTGTTTTTGCTGGTGATTGGAAAACTCAGGTCCATGTGCCCTGACTTTGTGTGATTCGAAACAATCCAATAATCCAATAAGCGAATCTCGCAAAGCTGCCACCACAACCAAGAGTAACATCCTTCCCTTGTTTTGGTTCGCCTTCAAGAGCCACAAAGGGTTCGGCCCATAAAGCACAATTGACAAGGCTGGACCACTCGACCACCCCGGCTTCGAGGACCGGCCGAGATACAACACTGACCACAGCAAAGCCAATAGCCAGTTTGTGTAGGACTCCAAATAGCATGAACCATTCGGAAACATTTTCCGCCAAGAGCCGTGATACTGGTGGCCAATTGGCTAAGGTTATTTCAAACATAGAATAGATTGACCTCAGGCAATAAGCTTCGGAACGGGGCATCTGGATGACGCTTTGCTCAAAACACGCTGCACACCATCGTAAGTGAAACTTTAGCTCTGCCTGGTGAAGGTGCCGAAGTACACATACACAGCCTGCCCTGAGTTGTGTTCAGTGACAATTTGATCATCTTGCAAACGACGCGAAACAAGTTATGTGGCGCATGTTTTCAAGCAGGATCTGCCAGGGGAGTTCGTCTTCAGCAGTACTCCAAGCACGTTCAGAGATTGGGAAGCTGCGCTATATTCCATGATCCTCCCAACCAACCCTAGACGACTCAGAACATTGTGTTTTCCGAAGATTCCGAAGCAGGCGGCGCTTACCGCAAATAGCCTCAAAGGCCTATCCAACAAAGAACTGCCTCACCTGCCCAATCTACTCCTCAAACTTTCTTCGGCCGCCAAAACACTTGCGACATCGCCTACTGGTCGGGCTTATCTCGTCCCCTTCACACACTACATCACCCATGATCCAATGCCACCCACACTTAGTCATCCAAAGTTTAGGGCCGACCGCTTTCGCAACTCAAGTGGGCGTGAAACAAATTGCGATATATACTTCGGAAGCGACGCTTGGCGTGCTTCCTGCTGAATATTGCATCCACAACGCGCCATGTCCTTGATGCCCGATCTTCTTGTGAAGTGTCCAGTGACACCCAACACCTGCAGCTGCGACTCTGGCTCAAGCTGCAAGATCATCTAGCGTCGCTGGGCTTCTTGCGCCATCACCCAGTTGTCGCCACGAAGGATGACCCTGTTCACATCCAGTTGTCGTATCATTGGAGTAAAACATCTCAGGGCCACAACAACTGCCAGCACCTCATATTCCGGTTGGAAAGACGTGCCTCCTGGCACGGCATTCAACCGCGTGTAGTCAGCCTCTGTAAGTTCACTGCTAAAATAATGGATAACTTCTTTCCGTTTGATCAGCGCAGCTGAATTGCGGCTTGAGGTATCTAACAGAGCGTCTTGCTCAAGTCCTTCCCGTTGTAGAGCGAACTGGACTCCGATGGCCCTTGGCCACAGCCAATACAACATGGTCTAGCAGCAGGGTTGCTGACGACAGCCATGGCAGATCCTACTGAAAACTCTGGTAACGCATGTAAATGCAACTGCGCCGCGCAAGATCATCACCCTAGGAGATCTCGGAGCTGTCGGCGTCGGCCAGCAATCGAAAGTTTGAAGCCATCCAGTGCAAAGACTGCCCTCTCGCCGCTTTCTGCCACGACGCCTCCATTCGCAAGCATATTCAATACTCTGTCGTCGCACGCACTGTTCCCGACTGGCTGCCACAGAAACCATGAGAGGGTTGCCAATGGAACAGTTAACATCAGCTTCAAAGCTACGCAACACTGCTTCCCCAACGTAGCAGGAACTCGTGCCCTTTCAATTGCTGCGCGCAGAAGCCTTTGGCAAGGTAGCAAAGACTCTCACGGTGGTCACGCCCCCTAGGCATTGAGAATTTGCATTCCAGGCAACGACACTGACCCAGCCCAGCAAACAACGTCCTCAGTCGCCATGAGGCGTGCCAGCTCTAGGCAGAAGTTGTAGCCCTGCTATGGAGAAGACCCGGAAAGTCGGTGGGCCCCACCACGGCCGGACTCAATGTCACAACTGGAAGCTTGCGGGGAAAGCAACAACACCAGGGCACGCAAAGCCCCACAAGGAAACCCACAGCAATGGCCACAATCACAACCAACTCAAGGTACATGGCCTGGAGGTTCCCTGGAGTCCATACTTGAGCCAAAATGGTACATGGTTCAAGATGAAATCGCTGCCAGCACTGCTATCGTTTCATTGCGCCAAATGTTGGTTTCACAGAAAATAAGCAAGCAAAAAATAAGACTTCAGCCACGGATCTCTCTGTCAATTCAACTGACTCATCTGCTAGGTAGTAGCTTGATACCACATTTGACACCAGCAAAGCCAGAGCCATTTGGACGACGAAGAACAAAACACATGCCTGGGTGGCTCAGCGTGCTGCATGAGAAGGCTAAAAGCAAACATTCATGCAGGTCATGTGATGCTCTTCAATCACTGTAGGCATGTGTCACGATTTGCATGGTTGGCAGAAGTTCAGGACAAGAAACCCAAGCCAAAGTAGAAAAGCTCCCACTCAATGCTGTTGTGATAATGTACAATGCATCCAGGCCTTATTGTTCTGTTCCAGAAGCTAAAACAGCATGTAAATAGAAAAAACTTGACTTGTCACAGTTGCACTTCTTCCTAACCTACAAGCGATGGCCTCCAACCTAAAAGCGATGGCCTGCAACCTAGTTAATAGCGATGGCCTCCAGGGCCTCCAACCTACCAGCGATGGCCTCCAACCTACTAGCGATGGCCTCCAACCTCCAACCCACTAGCAATGGCCTCCAACCTAATACCAATGGCCTTCTCAAGAAACTAAAAGCATTGAACATCATTGAACCCAGCATGAAAGAAGCAAAAATGCATGTCAAAAACATCCCAGGATGGTGGAGACTGGCAGACTGCTCTGTTGTGTGGCTGTGGCAAACGAGGCATCCATTCCTCAACGCGTGTAGTAAGGCTCTGACTGCGGAAGGTGTGGAGCACCCGCAAAAGACCTTGCAAATCAAGCGTCCAATCATGGTCTCACGATGCTAGCTGTTGCCTTCAGCCAAGGCACGCAAAAGCCTCGCCAATCGTGCTACTCGTAAGAGTGTGGGCTCCACGGGCAAAGTTGAAGTGCCAGATGCCACACTGATTATCCATGTCACAATGATTATGGTGTCGATGTAGTTCCAAACATGCCTGAGACTGAAAAGGCAGACAGCTGCGCAAAGCAGATTTTGCAATGGATAGAAAGGACATAAACGATTAAAAAGCACTGAAAGTGCTCATCAAAGTCTTGGTAACGAAAAATGTAATCTAAGGTGTTCGAAGGATCCCGCCTGAAAAAGTCTAAACGCTGGCCAATTATCTTGAGTAAGAGCTCGATTGTGAAGATAGCACCAAAGAAATACCCGAATATGTTGAAGACAGGTTGTGCGTTGGCCCATGTTTCCGTGTGACCAGTGTTGAGATCTTTGTACTTCAGGTCGGCTCCAATCGAAAGGCCCTGAAATTGTGACTCCAAAGCCATAACAATAGCATTGAGAAAAATGAAGCCAGCAGCTACAATGTCGAACATCGGATGCGAGACCAACTTTTCAGAAAGGCTCCAGAACGATTGGGGAAGGTCATCCTTGGTCGGCTCTGGGCTGAAAATCGTGAGCTGATTCTCGTGCGATTTAGACTGAGGCAGGACTCTTGCCCAAGCACTCTTGGGTTGGTGCTTCAAGCTTGATTTTTTACCTGTCACGGCCTCACCGTCCCCCGACAACTCCTCAGTGTTGAGGGTCACTGATGGAACCAGCTTCTTGTCACCTTCCAAGCTCCTTATCTTGGCACGCAGTTTTTGGTTCTCCCCTTGAAGCCGTTGTAGGTCAGCACTGTGCACTTCCCACAGCTTTCGCACAATTTCAGCAAAAGCTCCCGTTTCACTCTCATCAGGCAAGTGCTTTGTCTCTGTCTGCTCACGCATGTGGATTTCCACTTGCGGTTCCCCCCCTTCCCACGGCAACATGAGGCTGAAAATGCTGAAGCTGCGGCCGAGTGCGATAGGTCGGGAGATAAAGAAATCGCTAGCCGCTAGTGTCTCTGAGGGAGTAAATGCCACCTTTAGCCACTGCACAAAGGTCTTCAAAAGCATTGTAGAAAAAGCATGAAAAAGCAAGGTCCATAAGGTCCGAATATAAAAGCAAGGAAAGAAAAGAAAGAGGTGAGCTTCAAAAAGAACATGCTTGTATTCTTGTGTCTACTAGCAAAAGGAGACGTCCAAGAAGTTAAAAGTTCCTTGCTGAAAGAGCTGTCGTTTAGCAATGTTTGCTGTTTGCTGAAAGCGTTCCGTTCCGAAATGCCTCGGTCTCAGAGTCAACCTCTCCCATGGTAACTGCCTCTGTGAGGTACCGGAACAAATTTTGCTTCAAGGATTATTTAACGGGGGGGGCCGCTAGTGGTGAGGTAGGTAGCTAGTAGTAGCCAGATAGCTAGTACCTACAAGTAAGCTACTACTTAGATCTACTTAGGACGCAGGATAGCTCACGCATGCACTAATGATGTGGTTTCTAGCTGTTTAGGGAAACTTAAACGATGGCCTTCAACTTGATTCTTGATGCTTCTAGGATCACGGCAGCATCACCGTAAGGGCCATTGAGGGCGTACCAAAGCGTGCGAACGTTTTCCTGAAACCTCAAGCTTGTGGAAAAGCACACATCACACTTGCAGACAAATCCTCGTTCTTACAGTTACCTTTTGGTCAGAAGGCTGAATTCTGTTGCCTTTAGGGTGAGTTCGTGCTGGTCTCGAACTGGCAAACCTTTTTAACGTCTCCCGTGCCGCCAAAACCCTTTGGAATGGCCCTTGAGCGACCTGACAGCTGCATGCTTGTCAGGGTAAGCCCTCTCAAAGTTGGACGTCCGAATCTTCCTGAACACGTGCATTCACTTAATCATTGGCCTTTGGATGACGTTCAAACGTTCGAGAAGGTTGCACTCGTGTTGACATACCTTGCGACAGTTCATTCAATGTTGGCTAAACCCTCCACACCTTGAGACAGGCCCAGCTTTTGCAAGAAGTGCTGAAGCCTCATTAAATGTCACAGAGTTTATCCTAAACAGCTCCTTCTGGTGGGAACGCTTGATTTGATCATCCAGCCTCTTTCTCTGGTTCAGGCAGCTCTTTCAAACGTAGCAGCACTTTGGTTCTGTCCACAATAGAGGTCCTTGGCAGATAATGCAGCATGGCAGCTCAAAGTTCACAGATATCTCCAGTAAAAGCAAAATGCAACGAAAAATACTGTAAATGAACCCTTGAGTTGAACAACAATAGACCTCTGACTTGTTCCCAAAAACAAACATGGGTCCAATGGTCAAAATGGGTAAGCATCTGCGGCGGGATTCTTGGGAGGGTAGAGGACGCTACTAGGAGCAAAGGGCATCGCTACTAGGAGCAAGGACGCTACTAGGAGCTTCTGGCCTCGCTACCAGGAACAAGAAGCTACTAGGAGCAAGGGACGTTGGCACAAAGCAGCCACAGATTCGATGCATCTGGCGGTAAGGATATGCACGGTGTTTAAGAAGTGCTGTTGCGGTCATGAACATGGAGAAATGTGGGAGAAGTGAGTGCCAAACACAACACCACCCAAAGAAGGTCAACGTCGATCGGGAAGAATTCAACTGCACTGTCGTGTGCAGAAGGAAAAATCAACACCAGCGCTATGTTATTAAAATGACTTCTAGCCTCATAGCAATGGCCTTCAACCTTGAAGCGATGGCCTCCAACCTAATAGCAATGGCCTTCCAAGTGAGCCACCCTAACAGCCAGGCTAAGGAGCTGTTTGATGCTGCCAAGCATCGCAGGCAGGATGCCGATCTCACGGGCCAGCTCAACACCTTTCACAGCGTTTCACAGGGTTTCACAGGTTTGGCTATTGTCCAGGTTGGAGTCTAAACTTCTCTCAGAGTGGCAGAAACTGCATGCAAAGCTGGTCTGGTGCTGAGAAAGCAGCCGCTATGCCCCTTCATCCAAATAAGCGTTGGGAAACCTTGGAGCTTGTTGCAGCTGCTGCTTTCAATTTCATGGATAAACGGTTCCAGTCTTCGCGTTCCTGCATCATTGGGGAAAGGATCTCGAAAAACATCCCAGAGTACCGGACAAGCATTGTATAACGGATTATTTGCAAAATGTTCTGAGTAGGGTTCAAGGCAAGGAACGAGTCGTGCTGAAGTCACGCACCACCTCTGGTTCCTGTGTTGCATCAACAAGCACCACTCTGATAGAGCGTAGGAGAAGCCGTGCGGCAGCTTCTAGGTGCTCCCTGAAGAATGGCACTCAAAGTTAGGTCAAAGTCAAAGACCTGCAACTTGTGCTCCTTGCTGTTGAACAACCTTATCAAGAACTCACAAACTCCGGTGCCTGAATCGGAGATGCCGCGGACTGCGTTCATCTACCACAGCAAGAAGCAGTGGGACAGGGGTGTCCTAGCGATTGTGGCAATCATCTAGCTTGGAACGCACCATTAGAAATACATGAAGCTTACAAATGGCACTATGATTGGCTCCGTAAATAATCATTACATATATATATTACATATATATATATATGTGTACACACCATATTTCAATGTATTGTAGATTCATATTGTAAAGTTAATTATCCGTATCCTATGTTGCTATACTTTGGCACCCTAAGGCCGGAAAGTCTGGAAATAACATTGCAGGCCGTTCACCTTCTCAAGGCTGCCTTGAGTCATGCCTACGGTTCTAAACAATTCTTGGCAGTCGCGCTTGTTTGTTTCTTCACGTTGATTCTTGATAGACGTTGCCGAGAATCCGCTGCACGCTCTTTTTGAAACTCTTCCGTGGAGAGTTTCTGGATGACTCCTGCAACGCCATGCGGATCGTCTAGATGGGCCAGGTGTCAACGACAACACTCATGTCCTGGTGTGACGCCTTGCCGAGTGGGACTGTAGGCCTGGTCATTCTGCAGCTCTTCTATCAGCGCCTGTGTTGGGCCGTTGGATCATTGCGACACTGGCTTTGGGCTCTGTGAGTATCCGAAACATCTTGTGCACTCTGTCAGTGCCTGTGTTGGGCAAAAAATAACAAGTCAAGCACCTCACGGAGACCTTGCACATCAATGCAAGAAATGACCTTATGATGGCACCTTGGACTCGCTTTTGAGCTCAGAAGGTACTATACACAACAGGGATGGAACCGAGGAATGCCGCCTCTTCTCACTGGGTGACAGGCTGCCTCTGATTCAGCTCTTCCATCAGTCTTCTTCCTCAAATGCAATGCAAATAAGGTAGCTCAGCTAGGCCACAAACAGCAAGGCCGCCAGGCCCTTCGAATTGCAGGATTCACACGTCTAAGTGAAGCCCAGAAGCGACCCATGCCATAAACCCACATCAGCACCTCCTGGCTGAAATGAATGAGGGTGCAACAAGTCAATGCTAGAGGCTGCCAACTGCTCAAGTCCTGTGGAAGTCCGTATTGATTGATCTCATCTTGCTGTCCTTGCTTGATCTTCCTGTCACTCACACGATTGAAATGGTGATCAATCTGTAATCGCTGGCAACAAGCAACGTTATCGACATTCAGCTCGCCTCATTCTCTCTACATCCCGGGAACGCATATAGTCTGTCACGCCATCAACGTTCCGAAGAAGCAAATCTACCTTGGAGGAAATGCACTCCGCATGCACTCACAGTTGTAGAGGCATAGCCATTCTCCTTGCAGCCAGAGCACTCGACCCCAAGATGGGAAAGGCTTCTTGACACCGAACCTGAAGGGAATGGCTGCTGTGTCTGCTGCAGTTGCTACCAGATTTCACAAGTATGAATGGCTTGCGTGGTCGAAGTTTGCTGATATGGTCACAGGCCTTGAGGGTGGCAATTCAGAAAGTTGAAGGAAAGTGGATTCCGGCCCAACCACTATGTGTGAACGGACCTATCATGGATAAACTTGAGCTTGAGACCAAGGATTCTACGTTTGGATAGTTTCATGCTACATGGTACTCTTCTAGTGCTTAAGCTTAAGTTCACATCAGCTGACTGCAAAGAAAGCGCTGCAGTTTGCAGCACTTTCCCTGTGGCCTTTCACGGCCACGGTTTGCATAGCGCCAAAATCTTGGTGTCACTCTACCAAAACACGGAAACTTTGATTTCACTGTGGTGCATAACCCGCAAACCTATCAAAACTTGACTGACCTAGTTGTTGGAAATGCCAGCCTACAGAAAGATGGTCTGCCACCACTGGAGGATTATTTCATCATTCAAACCAATGTTATGTCTCAGTATAAGAACTTGCGATAGCCTTATCGATTAAGTCTTTCTATTCACAATATGTTCATATTTCAACTTCTTGCTGGTTCCTTCTTGCTACCTACCAAATCCCTATCAATCAAGAGTTCAGGAGGTCTTGAAATTGTTGAATGGTTGACTTTGCTGGATTGTTTGGACTTTTTGGATTTAGGGCATAATCGGTTTTTGTTGAATGTGTGTTTTCCATTTTTAACAGTAATTCTTTAGGTTTTGAAGGTCTGGAGCGCCAGTCTCTAACTCTGCGCTGTTCTAATTCGTGTTTGATCCCATCCTTCTTGCCAAGGAGCTTGTCTGGTTCATCCAGTTTGGCATCTTGCCGAAGAAGCATCTGGCCCGGATTCGAGATTCGGGTGCGGAGTGCATCTCCACCACCTAAACGGCATCGGCAGCATCATTGGACACAGTAAGGCACAACACACCACCTGGGCTCGACATCAGCTCGTTGTACAAGTTCCGTGCAGGGTCTGCATGCTCATCCTTCGAAGAAACAATTGAGCAGTTCCGATTCTCAAGTGCAAGTCAGGGCACCTCGTACTTCGCCATACCTACGAAGGCCACAGAGGTTCAAATGCCGCCTTCTCGAATCTCTACCGCCTTCCCCGGCCTGCGTCATCTTGGTACCATCGTCTGCCACCAATATTCTTCGGTGGCAGCCACCTTGCACCCTTTTGCACTGTCCAGGTCATGTTAGTACCTCAATCAACAAAATGAATCAAATCATATCAAGTGGGTTTAAAGCTGATGTCTTTTTTTATGTTGCTGCTTGTGGGCCACCTTCAACAGGTTCCATGAACTGGGCTCCTGCATTGTAGCAAGCCTGAAGCTTTTTTGGCAATGCATTGAAGTGGTTTGACTGCTAGAACGATCACAGCCAGAACGTTCATCTTTCATTGATGTGCAAGCACTCAATTACAGTATATCATTACAACGCCAGCATAGACCCCAGATAGCAAAAAATATGTGCAAAAGCGCACAGTACTCTACAGCCGCACCCCGCAGGCACCAGCACCCAGGCTCCGAAGCGCACACGGGCACCTCTTGCTATACTTGAAGTAAGAACCCCAATAGCTCGCGCATCTGGAGAACAACCACGTCCCCCAATGCCTGCTGTAGCCAGTGAGTGCTTTCAACAGTGAAGTTCTCTGGCAAGAGCTTGCCGCCGACAAAGAGATAGGGAGAATCCGGCTGTCTCCTGCAAAAACAAGTGTTGCTGGCCGTGTAGTAATGCGACACACCAAAATCCAATGTCTTGCCAGTGTCCAACATCACAGGTATGTATGACAGTTGATCTGCGTTATCTACAAATATATAGAATGTCCTCACGAAGGCACAGGGTCTCCTGTTGTACTGCTCCAGCTGCTGAACAACAGCAGCACCAATACCAGACCCCAGCTGGTCTAGATCCAGGTGGTCGAAACGGACACACGCCCTTTGCAATGACTGCCTGGCCTCCAAGAAAATGAATACAATGGAAGCTTGAGTTTGCAAGCATGTGCTGAATTGCTTCAATGTGCTCAGTCCTGCAAACTCGAGGAAGCTGACTGGGAGATTAGTAGCACAGGGCTTCTTGCAAGCTCCTGAAGCTTCTTGCACATGCCGTTGTAATCGCCTTCAAATGTCCAAAACGCTAAGACTTGACGTCGAACGATCGCCTTCTTGAGCCAATCTGATGCCCAGTCAGTGGCAGTTTGGGCCTGCAAACAGCAATGCGGACCCTATGTTGCCTAGCATGGCGAGTTTCTGTGTGCACATAAAACCAAGCAGTGATGTGAAAAATGTTCCTATATAATATATATATATAATGGGAATGGCACGTGAACTAATTCAAAACCCTTCAGCAAACAAGGTTCGCTTGCCTGCAGTTGGTGCAAACTCAAGGTTCTCCTCGATTCCACATGCCGTCTGTCAAAATATAGCAACACATTAATCAAATGAACATGTCCGCTAATGAGAGTCCTCGATGGCTCGGCACCACAGAATGCAAGAGTAGCCTCAACAAAGGGACCACCAATTAGTTTCCACAAATTTGAATCCACAACAAGTCCACCACCTGACATCACAAAGATCAAAAAAAACAAATGATACAACGGTCTCAACGAATCAAAGCAAAGGTGTCATGCAGCTCTGATGCTGTAGCAATCCCAGCCAAGAAGGTTGTACCCAGCAACACTTTGTGCACACCCCTCCTGTGTTCTTTCTTAAACTGGTCTTGAAGTCAATTTGCAATAAATAGATTCAAGGTAGCAAACGCGGAGCTCAAGAGCCCTTACAGATTGTCAGTTGCTTCATTTCTTGCCCAGCGCTTGGTTTCTCCTCGCAGGGTATCTCGCCCACACTGGCATTGTACATGTGAGATCCCTGGGGCTATGAGAAGCTGTAATCTTGCAAATCGGTGTCTTGATCTTTGCTTGCATGCATGTGGCGGGCAAAATGCAATTTCCACCGTGTCCTCTACATTTCCTAATAATGTAGGCGGTTAATTTGACTCTGTCCCCTGTGGCTTGTGCAGAGTATAGTTGCATCGCATTTGACCATCTGTCGTCCATGTCAGCGTGGCTCGGGGGGCTCAGGAAAACTGCAAGCGGCGAGCCCCTTGAGCCGAAGTGCCATATCCAGACAAAGCAAATGTGCTCAAGGGCTGTGGGGAAGGTTTTGGAAATGTGGACATGCAAAACGCACATTTACATGTACATCTATGAAAGCTATGCTTCAGCACTTCCACAGTGAGGGTCTCCAAGCTCTGAACCCAAGTTCACGGCATTTCTGCGCCAGCTGTGGCAGCGTGAGTTGACCGCGACAGTCAGGGTCCTGACAGCTGCAGCTGGGCAAAGCCCGAAGCACTGTACGTCAAAAGGAGATGCAAAGGTTGACCGACGGTCCAGCAGGTACCGCCTCAGCAACCATGAAGATATATTGGGATCATGCCTTTGAAGTCTGAGGGATAGTCAGAGGGATCACACGCAATGAAACAAACCAAGTAGAGAGCGAACCACCAATCAGAATCACATTGCATCAAAGACACCATGCTCGGACAAAGTTGCCTCCTGGCTCATGCTGTGCTTGGGCAAGTGGAAACTTTACAACCAGAAGCAGCTTTCTGTCCTTTCTCCAGCAACATCTTTTTGAACTCCCCTGAGCTTACACAACACATTCTTTGGTACTAGAAGATCCAGCCACCCACTTCAATCACTTTAATATCTACAGCATTGGAAGTGTCAGCACTGAGGCATCCACCAACGACCTTCTTTTTTGTAGGGCCAGTTACACTGCAACAGGGTTTTGCTTAAAACCAAACGGAGTCATAAAGCTGTAAAAGCATTTAAAGAAAGCTGTTCAAGATGCATAAAATGCATACAGCATTAAAGCATCAAGTAGAACTTCAAAGGGAAGCCTGGCCTCGACTTTGGCATGGGGGGTTGCGATCTGGCCTTTGGTGGCGTCTTGGAGCGAGGTTCTGCTTTGCTCTCCTCCCAATTTGGCGATTCTTTTTTTTGCCCGGGCGGGGGGGTAGGCCGCCAGGAGAGGTAGGTAGCTAGTAGCTACAAGCAAGCTACTAACTACTGGATGCAGGATAGCTCGCACTAATGACTTGGTTTCTAGATTTTTAGGGAAACTTAACTATGACCTGAAAGGTCCTGCAACTAGGTCAACAACCTCGATGTTCTGCTACCACCCAAGCATATACTAGTCACAGATTAGCTTCGTCTCTTCTTCATGTTGTCATCATTTAGCCGCAAGAATCGTCAGCTCCATCAGAGAACGCTCTAATGATTGAAGCTACGTGAAGCTGCCTCGGGATGTTGGTGGCTACTGCTACGGGGAAGAAATTACAACCCAAAACATTGGCAGACTGCTGAAGAGTAAAGTAAAAATTGACGTTATGAACACCCATTCAATTCCTCAGCACGGAGGTGATCCAGCCAGTTGTCTTCTTGAGCACGCCGTATCAGCTGAGCTCGTTCGTGCGCCTGGCCAAGCACACCCATTTCTCACAGAAAATACATACGATCAAATATGTGTAACTTTCTAGTCTCCTTGCCTCACTTGCAACGCTCGGATTTGTAGCTGCAATGCGCTTCTGCGCAACATATTTGGCAGTTGAATCCTCAGATTTCAGATGAGTTTAAGGATAGCACCGCCCCTTCAACACGCGACCATGCCTGCGTTCTCTTCACAGCCGCCATCCACTCCTTCCTTCAAAGTGGGAAGCGTTAAAGCCCAAGTGTAGCTGTGAGCGGCAAAACTTAATGGGCTTTCGTATCACTTTCTAAAGTAGGCAAGTTTGCCGAAAACTAATGAAGCTCTTTTAGAACTAGTCTTAAGACTCTGGGTGCAGCCTTTGCTTGTTAAGCAGCTCTTTCGACGCCAATGATTGCTCCAAAAGGAAACTGCCTCGTGCAGATTGAGAGCAAGCCGCGAACCGTTCAAGGTCGTTTCTACATCGTGAACCATTTGGTTACAGTACTGTATATAGTATATCAGATTGGAATAGATTGGATAATATCGGATATATGGTGCTTCAAGCAAAATCAACGTCAATGAAATTTAAGATTTCAGCCGCCCTCACAGCTTCAGTGCCGCAGCCTGTGACTGACTTTGGAGCTTCCACCGGCGGCTTTTTGACCCCAGCTGCTGCTGCACGAGCGCGACCAATCTTCTCTCGCTCCTTACCTTGGCCATCAGAAGCCAAGCGATTGAATCCAGCGCGCAAAATCTGTCATGAAGTTGCCTTAACTTCAACGTCCAATCGACCCGTTCAGCATGACAGCATGGAGTTTGGTGGCTGGTTACACCACCTGTACGTGAGTAGAATAGGTTCTGTTCAATAGTTCTCACGAAACCATCCAATCATTGCACCCGAAATCTAATTTACAAAAAAAGAACCACAACCCTACACGTACTTCCTTCAAGTTGTCCATCTCCGTCTTATGAGACCAATCAAAACAGCATCCTCTTGACTACCAAGTTTTGGGATTTGTGCGGGGAAGACTACCAATCGGGAAGATCAGAAGGACTTGCTACAGCCTTTGGTCAAAAAGGGTGCAACCAAAGAACTACATTTTGTGGACGCCACAGGGCTTGCACTCCGGACATGCCTTAGAAGCTAGAACATGCCAACAAAGAGAACGCAAAACCAACGAATCAAGCACCACACATCCCGCGCAAAGGACTAGTTGAGGCCGGCCTTGACTGCGCCTCGTCTTCTTGCTCCAACATCCAGCACTAAAAGTATGCATGTTGGTATCAGTGCAGCCGTCTGCGTCTCGAAAGTATGTGTATATATATATATAAATAGGCACCCGTCCTTTTGCTCGGTTGTCTCTGGCGAGGTGTTTGAACGTTCTCCTTCCATCGGAAAGTTCAAGTCTTTAAGAACCAATAGATGTGCAAAGTGAAGAGACGATTTCGAAGATGAATGGTTGTGATGCAGGAGTACCGCATCATCCAAATGCAAATACAAAAACAAGTAAAAAACAAACAATAAATCGACTCCTCGAGCGCTCAAAGCTCGAGCACCTTTGGAAGCACCTCCCTGGTCGAGCTCAGCTCTCTTTCAAGCGTCTCTCAGCTCACAATCTTTGGACGACATTTCCGACTCTCTCTTTTTTCTGAATGGCATGAGAATTGAGAGAGCAGGGCAAATATGTGGCCTTGGGAGAAGGCGTTCGGTCATTCCCTGGCAAAGGGAGAGGCGCCAAACATCAAGCATGAGCAAGGACGCTACTAGGGGCTCCTGGCATCGCTACTAGGAGCAAGGACGCTACTAGGGGCATCATTCATGATTGATACCGCTTTCTGGGCGGCTTGCCGTTGAGCAGCTTCTTGCCACGAGAGGGGGTCCGTGAAACACTTGGACTGGAGGTTTCCTCTGAAGCACCTGGACTAAGCAAACTTGATACATGCTCCCAACAAAGTCATAGGCGGCTAGATGGAGATGAAACTTGAAAATGTCTTTTGTGCAGGAGTTGCTGTGTTTAATGAATTATTCTGCCTCGTCGTCTTTGCGGAATTGCCTGATTGAAGGTAATCCCGGCCACAAACTACTGTCACAATCTATCAAGCAATGCTGCGCGCATGTGTCACTGCCACTCACTGCCTGAATGGCTTCTGTGGCTGTCTTGCCGTGAGGCTTCCGTCTGTCCTCGGCCTTTCGTACGGAGCGACGCCCAGAGCGAGCAAGGCGACGAGAAGCGCCCGGCCTCGCGAGGAGAAGCGCCACGCCTTGGGCGTGTTCGGCGGGGTTTTTCTCTCGGGTTTGTTGAGGAATCCAGGAAGACCGGTGTTTTTCTTTTCTACCGACCTTTTTTTTTGCCCGGGCGGGGGGGGGTGTAGGCCGTGAGGTAGGTAGCTAGTTAGTAGTAGCTACAGGTAGCTACTAACTACAAGTACAAGTCTACTAACTACTGGACGCAGGATAGCTCACGCTTCTTCAAGGAAGCTCCCTTGAAGAAGCACTTGCACAATTTGGTTCCTAGAGTTTTTTGGAAACTTCACAAATTATATGTCTTTGTCTTAGCCTCTTAGAATCAGGTGTTCCCTTTCTTCTTCGGTTCTCTAAAAGCAAAACATATTCAAATGACGCATTCTTCCATCTTCTGTCTTCTCCTCTTGAGAGAATGCTCAAATTTAAAGCCAATTTCTGAATGGTCAAGTGAAGCTGGAGCTCTTCTTCTTGCTGAAGCATTACATTATGTGTGCCAAAAGGAATCAAAATAACAATACGAATTGCCACCAAAGGCTGGAACAAAAGCATGCTAGGCAAGGCCATTGAAATCTGTCACTGCTGTTTGTTTTTAATGAGACCATTGGAGAGTAAAGCTTCAACTTCTGCATCGACCACAATCCGATGAGGTCGAGATGGATTGAAAATCCCTATTTTGCAGTGTTCAAATGCCATTGCTTCAGTTTCTGTCAGTTCTCAAGGGCCTTGGCGAATCTCCGCTGCTGTCACTTGCCGCCTGCGACAGGCGCTTTACCGGCTTCACTGGCAAGCCGCCACCTCCACCTCGCTCAAGGCAAGGTGAGAGAACACATGGGTCATAGATTGTCGTAGATTTAATTCTATCATTCCTGTCATTACGTGCCAAATATATATGCAAAAATCAACAATCTGGTGTGGCTATATGCGTCAATGGTAGGGTATAGGTACATGTTCAGGGTCAATAGTCAAGAACGATATGAGTAGCAATCGGTAGCACACCATGCTAGGGTAGTTGACAGGGTCATCAGCCTCATTCAATACACATGACTGCTTTGCAAGCCGTACAACTTTGCAAATACGAAGGCAATTGGTTCTCTAGTCCATTCTTCTTTCTGCTTGCAACCTGCACAGACCATACTGCGGGCAGGTTGACTTCAAACAAGAGATGCATGTGGCAGCACTGTAGAATTTACCAAACATGAACACGTATCGGCCACAAGCTGGCGAGTCATGAGAAAAACACATCAATGCCATGAGCATGTGTTTATATAGAAGTACAACCACACGGTTGACTTCTTGCAGCTTGTTGTCTCCCTTTTGCCTATTTTTGCCAGGACACTGCTGGAGCTGGATGCTCTCCTAGCTTCTCCTCACAGGCTGGCCATGAAAACTCCCGATGCAGGTGCACCCCACATGCCGTGCATTGGTTTTTACTGCATCAGGTATTACCATTACATGAGAAGCAATCAACTTTTGACAAAAGAAGCTTTTGACATGAGGATTGATGAAGGACACAAACACATATAAAATCTTGTTCACTCACGTGTCACCTTTAAAGCTACAAACATGACCACCATCTTTCACCTCATTGACAAGCCTTTCCATGTCGAATCTCCTACCGATACGGGAGGCTTCAAGAAACATGGTTAAGATAAATGGGGCTAACGGATTTCATGATTGGTGCCTTCATTCCCGGCATCGTCCATGTGTGGCCATATTCAGAGACTAAAGCGAGGCATGCGCCAAGGATGCAAATTTGATCTGAGTCTGTTCCCGCGCTTAGTGATGCAAAATAATGTGAAGCTTTGACAGTTGTGTTCTCAGCTAAAAAACAAGGATCAAGGTTCCAAAAAGGAAAGACCCATGTTACCATGCTTGCATAGGCAAATGTCCTGCAACGTACGCAAAACAATTACCAAGAATAGAGCCTTTCTTGTGGCCCAAGCCTTTAGGAGAAACAGCTGCCAATACGTTGTTCAAATGCAGAACACCATGATCAATGATATACTGATATACCCTTCACTGTTTGCCTGATCAAAAAGGCAAAGCCTGACACTTTTCTTTGTCGCCGTGTCAAGGCTTCAAGCCAACTCACGTCCTCAGAATCTATTCTGTTCGTTTCGCTCAACTCACATCATCACTCCTTTTTGTTTGCTTAAGGTCTGCACGTCTTTTGCTTTGGACGGCGTAGAGTCATGCTTGGAACCCGTGGAGGCCTCGCTCAAAAACAGCCACAAACAATGACTCTAATAGCTGCTTGTTACTAGTAGTAAGAATGCTCCTAGTAGCGATGCCAGGAGCCCCTAGTAGCGTCCTTGCTCCTAGTAGTATGGCCAGGAGCCCATAGCTTCTTGTAACTAGTAGTAAGAATGCTCCTAGTAGCGATGCCAGGAGCCCCTAGTAGCGTCTCCTAGTAGTATGGCCAGGAGCCCCTAATAGCTTCTTGTACTAGTAGTAAGAATGCTCCTAGTAGCAATACCAGGAGCCCCTAGTAGCGTCCTTGCTCCTAGTAGTATGGCCAGGAGCCCCTAATAGCTTCTTGTTACTAGTAGTAAGAATGCTCCTAGTAGCAATGCCAGGAGCCCCTAGTAGCATCCTTGCTCCTAGTAGTATGGCCAGGAGCCCCAAATAGCTTCTTGTTACTAGTAGTAAGAATGCTCCTAGTAGCGATGCCAGGAGACCCTAGTAGCGTCCTTGCTCCTAGTAGTATGGCCAGGTGCCCCTAATAGCTTCTTGTTACTAGTAGTCAGAATGCTCCTGGTAGCGATGCCAGGAGCCCCTACTGTAGTAGCATCCTTGCTCTTAGTAGTATGGCCAGGAGCCCCTAATAGCCTCTTGTTACTAGTTAGAATGCTCCTAGTAGCGATGCCAGGAGCCCCTAGTAGCGTCCTTGCTCCTAGTAGTATGGCCAGGAGCCCCTAATAGCTTCTTGTTACTAGTAGTAAGAATGTTCCTAGTAGCGATGCCAGGAGCCCCTAGTAGCGTGCGTGCTCATAGTAGTATGGCCAGGAGCCCCTAATAGCTTCTTGTTACTAGGAGTATGGCCAGGAGCCCCTAGGCCCTAGTAGCGTTCTTGCTCCTAGTAGCGATGCCCTTTGCTCCTACTAGCGTCCTTAATGATTCTTCTTTTTCTGAGGCACAAACAGAAACCTATTGGAGGAAAGATCGGCATTCTCATCAAGCATCTCTCCAGTCCTGCCATGCTCACATATCTATGTTCGCTTGTTGTGTTTGCGTGCAGGTCCCCTCTGCCTGTAGAAGTGTAGACGTCGATCGACTATGGTCGTCCGGTTCTTGACATGCTCAGGCTTCTTCCACCGCGCTCGAACTGGCTCCAGATTCGGCCGCCTGACCAGTTTGTTCATGGTCCATGCCTGGTGGTTTCACTACTGAACATGTTTTCTGCCAAGGTGCTTGACACCATACTTCGAGCGCTTGCTCCTGAAACTCTGATCTTTCTGCTTCTTGAGTTCAAGTAGCTCACCAAGGCTGAGCTGTGTTCAAGTTGCAGTGAGAAAAGGGTCAGACCCGCGATTCTTCACTGGAAGAAGGTCGTACTGGCCCCTCATACAGGTCAGGTTGCAGCCTGCCATGGGTCTTTCCACTATATAGAAACAGCAAGAAAACACTGTGTGCAGTCAAAAAAGGGCATGGTGGCATCACCGATTAGCTCTCTTCGGCGACCCCCTCGGACCATGACCACCGAGTGCACCTGCAACAAGAATGGTCAGGACAAAGCACTTCAAAAAGACCAAAGTCCATGTATTTCTTGCAAGGTCCGGGATTGCTTGCTCATTTGCCTGAAGGTTGTGACCCTGGCCAGGAATGTATGCCTGCGCAAGACAAGCTTGAAGAGACATACTGTATCACTGTATCACCGTATCAATTAATTCATGTACATTGCATACACCGTGAAGCCCCTGAGCCTTCACAACACGCCCATTGGAGAGGCGCACGTAACAAACCTGGACGAGACTTGCGCACAATGCCTTCTCTCCGAATCAGAACAGAGACTTGTTCTCCCAACAAAATAACATCCCTATCACCTTGTGCGGCCCAGCGCCTTCTTCTGGCCCGAGTTCGGTTTCTTTGGAGACTGGATGAAGACCTGAAATTCAACCCAACAATGTATGTTCATCCAATGTACGTAACAACACATCCGACACATCTCATAATTTAATCAGTGCTGTGTATTGCTGTGCTGTTTCATGTGGCGAGCCTTTGTGCAGACACCCTTCCGGTTTCCAGCACCTTCCAGCCATTTAGATCGCGGATTGAACTTCCATTTGGGCACCTCGGTGTCGACTCGGTGTCTAAAAATTCTGAAACATAGGGACACAGCTACGAGCATCATGGCATTTATCCTAAGAAACATCTCGAAAGAGGCGGTGGTCGTGGCATTGAACTTTCAGTGCCTGAAGCAGGTTACTCAAGCAGTCCAAATCCAAGCAAGGCACCATTTTCGGCCGTCTCTTGTAGAAGAGCCTTCCTCCAATATTCCTTTCACATTCAGCCACATACAAGGTTTCGAGACACATCATAAGCTGTGTGATTGGTCCAGTCCTTGTTGAAAAAGCTCGCAGGTTAAAAGGCAACTGTGGAGTTTGTGATCTCGAAGCTGCCAGTGGCACCCGTCCCATCTGTGCCATCATTTGCACTTCGGTCAAGCAAAATGACCAACGGCTCGAGAACGGCAGCATTGACGCATTCAAAAGTCCACCGTATCTCGGTCTTGCCAAATGCGAGACGTCCCGGGACATCTGAGAAACGAATCTTCCAGACAATGACAGAGCTCGCCCTATGCACTGCATGGCTCAGAATATTGCACGCGAATGTAGCTTTCCTGTTCGTGTTTATCGTATTTCATCATATCTTCTGGTCGTAGTTTGATAGTCGAGATTTGTAAGTTTGCTGAGGAAAGGAGTGGGCTTCAGACCCTAGATTTGTGTTTTCTACATTCGTTTTCTGTTGGCGTAAAGAATTTCCAAATGTCCTCTATTTCTAGATGCAATAAACACCATATTCTATGTAAAACATGTTGCATCTGACTGGGACTTTGCTTTTATCTGCAAAGCTGGAAAGGAATACTACGCTGTATTTGTGCAAAACTAGAGTCTCACTACAAGGTTTGCCATCACAGGTGTAGCCAAATGCGGAGCTATAAACAGCCAGCAGCGAAAAGTATGATTCATGCAGCAGGTCTTGCTGTTGCATGGGCTATGATACAAGCCGGCTGGTCAAGGGGTCACACGTTCCATTCCCTGCGGACGATTTTTGGCCTCACCTGAATGGATCGAGAACACCACGCTGCCACTGATCTCCGTTTCGTCGCACATCTGTGACAAGGCGGACGAGTGCAAACTCCGTCCCATCACTTCCAGCAAGTCGTGCTTCCAGAATACCAAGGCTCTCCAAAGCGGATTCCGGCAAGCCAAGAAGTGGCAAGCCCGCTGTTTTGAGTTCAACATGGTGTATTTGATCACTGGCTTCGTTTGCACTGCTTTCTTGGCTGTCTAGCACAAGGTCTACTGCTTTTTGATGGTAGACCAAGTCAGCTACAAATCGTAGCTGCCACTGACCCTGAATGTTCAGCGTCGTGCGGAAGTCAATTTCCAAGCAGAGGGGCGCGTCCAGAGAGCACGGGCCATGAGGTTCCACAGCAACCCGCAGCACCTCAACCGCAAACTCAAAAAATCTTGCACTAATTTGCTAAGCCCACATAACATGAGCTTCAATGCGTCACCTAGAGTTGGAACTTGGTCCAAGGAAAGTCTGACAGCGCTTACCAGGTTTTTGTAAGGCCCTACTAGCAACACCCAGCTCCTCTGAAACTGAAGCACACTTTTTTGTCCACCGCGTGAGTCAACACAGGGCAGCAGCCGGGCAGCACCTGCCTGACTGCTGCCGGATCCATCCGAACCAAAGGGTTGATTCACGCGGGCACCAAAGAAGCCTTGCCCCACTCGAAGAGTTCTCAAGTGACTTCCATTGGTCAATAGACTACAGCAAAAGCAAACAAAACGAAGAAACAATCGCATGCTTGATAGCCTGCAAGTGCACACAAAACGTACTGCTTTAATTTCAAGCAGCTCTACTCCAATGCAAAAAACACGAACCCGACCGCACGGGTCGGCAACAAGGCCTCAAGTGCGGTTTTTTCAATATCCCTTACTGCCACGGGCTTTCCAAGACACCCCGAAGATCAACACTCCACCACAAAGCAGGGTCAAAGCCCTCCGGTTTGCCCCTGCTTCAAGAGTTCTTCTCTCCCACTGGGAACAGGGCAACGCCCGACTGGCAACACCAGTAACCAGTTGCTGAATGACAAACGAGAGGTTTCCGACGTCGCCAACTGCTCCGCCTGCCGCGGCTGGACCTAGTGGAACCTCAACACTACCTTGTCTTGCGCCTGCGAGACCTCGACCCTGGCTAGCAGCAGAACCTCCATTTTTGAACCAAGGTTCCTTCTGCTGACCTGAAAAGAAAACCATCGCACCTTGGATCAGACGCAACCGCCGCCACAAGCGATCCACCACCCACCTACGTCTCCCGCATCCGCCGTTGCAAATGCGTCTGCTGCTGGCAAACCACCATCCACGTCCAAAAACCGCCGCGGCGCTGCTGCTTGCACGCGCACAGCGTTGCAAAGAGTTGAGCAGCCCAAGTTCGGCAGACTTTTACCCGACAATGCTGGTAGTTGCAGCCATGTTCCATCTTGGGGCGCTGGATCGCTGGAGAATCTAAATCCGACGCAAGACAGTTTCTGCAGAATGTAGTTTCCATCCCGAAGCAACGTCGCAAAATGGCAAAGAGGAGCCAACCCATAGGGTAGGTGACAGCGCTTCCCGCAGAGATCGAAAGTCGCAGCGGGGATTGTAAACAAGCTTGTAGAGAGGGTGTAACCAACCAAGGCTTCAGCCAATACGCACCCCCACAAAACCATAGGAGCAACCCAATACACTGTTCAACCAGCTTTCTGTCTACCGACCGTCCAGACTCAGACAGTTCACTCAGCAGCCGCAAAAGTTTGTCAAGCCTTGCCAACGGAAGAGCTCCGGTGGAAATCCCAACCAATCGAAGCAAGGGACGACCCCGTGGCCAGTTCTTCCCAACGCCGCCAAAAACATTATATAGTGACGAATTAAGAAGGCGTTGAATTTGCCGAACCAGTAGGCAGCACACCGACATCTAAAATAGGCAGAAGGATATACAAACCATTCGTCTTCGAAAACAAAGACGCTGAAGCGCTTCAAGGCGGCTTCAAGACCGCTGAAGAGACTCCAACGGACGGAGTCGAACTTTCTCGCAAATCCTGGAAGGGCGATGGTACCACCAAGCTTGCATGCAGCCACATTGGGCCCTTACTAGGGCACGTGCCCTGCGTCGGCGTCAACATCTTTTTGCAAATGTTTCCGGGTCAATGAAGGGCCCATGGCAGGGGACCAAGGTATGGTGTCAACCACCAGACCCTCTTCCACTTCTTCAACACAAGTAGGGGCACACGTGTCCCAAACCCCGGGAGGAGTAGTGGGTTCTAAAGTGCCAGTGGAAACACCTCACTATTACCACTCAACTGCGCGCACATGCGCCACACATCCAGCAAGAAATCAAAAGGAGCACTGCCCTCAATTTCTACCCAACCCAGGCCTTGTTGCGGCTCACACTTGAGCCATGAACATTCACCTCCAATTACAAAGTAACAGGACCAGGGATGTTGCAGAAGGGTTTGGGTGTACACCGGCCGTATCCAGCCCCACCCCAGTGTACACCCCCGAGCATGCGAGCGTTCAATCGGCCAGGCGGTTGGAGAACATACTTCACCGGCAATGAAGCTGCAGATTCACGAGTGTACTGCCACTAATGGTGCTAGATTTGATGGAACCTCTGGCACCTCATTGTATGGCCATCAAGCTTTGTCCGTTTGGGGCTTTGGTGGCTTGCAGAACTGGCCAGTCCAAACACTAGTAAAGCTTTATGACTCCAAAATTATTGCTACACTTTTACATGGCTTTGTGTTGTTTTTGCTCAAGGAATCTGTCGTTCATTCCGCTTCCTTCTTTCTTTCCTTCTGTCCATTCTCCTTCCAAATCGTTCATACTGAGAAGTAGAACCGTTAAACCGTGATTGCAGGTTTGGGGAGTGGCAGCAGCAGCAGCAGCGGGAGCAGGAGCAGGAGCAACCGCTGCGGCACGGGCCTCCACCGGGGAAGCGAGCTCTGAATGCGACATGACGCCCCGTCGCAATTGGCGTAGCTTCGGGAACTGAAATTACACAGGGTCTTGTAAATCAGGTCTCGGTTTCAGCCTGATAAGGCTCCATTGAGGATCCAGTCAGTTCAAAGAATGAATTCTACCTCTCCTAGCAGTCCATGAGTCCATGATGTTTGAGTTCAACCATGAAAATGACCATAAGGCAAGCAAATCCAATAGCGGTGTGGATCTTTCTTTCATGCAAAAGGGTGTCTTGTAGGTTTTAGTTTGAGGTGTGAGCAGCTTCAGTGCGAAGAGAGCTCTCAGCTTCACTCCGTTCAACAGGTTTGCCAAAGCAACAATGTTTCTCGATCTGGATTTAGCACTTGACCGAGTCATTTTGAACTGCTTCAAGCAAGGCCGAAAGTGGCCAAGGATCATTAACACTCATGGCAAATGCTAAGGCAGTTTGCCGCAGCACCCATGACCTGCGGATGAGATGCAGTCTTTCAAGCACCTTGGCTTTGCAACCGGAACGAACACTTGAACTCCTCGCGAACCAAACAAGCACAGCACCACAGTTCCAATTGGGTTGGCGAACGTGTGTTTCAACCCACTTGCAATGCTAGTCAATTGGTATGCCTCTGACGCGGTCCTGTTGTGCAAGTGTATGTCTATGTCGATGCATTTGGTCTGCCTGTCTGTCTGTCTGCCTGCCTGCCTGGCTGGCTGTCTGTCTGGCTGTCTGTGTGCGCCGTACAGCGTGCTTCTGACAAGTATGACAGTATTAGTATGACTTGTACCCTCTTGCAATCAGAGGTATCAACTCCCAGGACAATCACGGGTCAGCATCCCATGTCGCTTGCTATCCTTCAGAAGTTCATATGTCTCAAGTCTCAAGGCTTTCCAGCCCAAGGCACTTTGCTCACTCGAATGTCTCATCTACAGGGTCTTCCGAAAGCTCATTCTCCTGACAACAAAGCATCCACATGGTCCCAGCTAATCACGGTCGATCACCTGATCAAGCTAGTCCGGCCTCCTTTCTCTGCTTCAACTTCTCCTTGTCTTCCAGCTTCTTCACCTTTGGTGAGACATGCTCAGGGTTGCTGCAATGGCTGGGACATTCTCTCGTCGCAACTCCTGCGTCTCTTTCTCAAGCCATGTCACATAGGGATTCTTCAGCAACTTTCGTGCCTCACCAGTCGCGTCAGAAGCGTGAGGTGTGAGACTAGCGCGCATGGTAGTGCCTGCACCCGTAAAGCTGTAGGGGTCATGTAGTGTGGATTAAGATACCTGCACGGGTATAGAGCACGCACTTTCACTTTCACCCGCAGACTTGGATTGTAAAATGGGCTACAAAAAGTGGTTCCGTTAAAACAGGACAGCAGCACAAGGTCTGTCCACTGAAACTCCCAGCGAAAATGCGGATGGGATCCAAGACGAAGCGTGGCCCAATCTCTGTTAGAACCTCAAACAGTAAGGGAGAAGGTCGGTCGCACACGTTGAAAAGAAGCTTCACGAGACTCCACAGACCTGCTTTTCTGGCTTGTCCGCGTCGTCTGGTGTCTCTGGAGAGATCTGATAATGTCTGAACCTCAGCTGAGGGTAGGTCCTTTCTTTCTCATCTCTTTGGTGTCTACTTGGGTTGTGGGCCAAATCTTACGATCAAGCCTCAGTTGACAATACGAGTCAAAAAAGAGCACAAGAACCGAGGGGGCAGGACTTAGTGCAAAGCCAATAGAAGCACATAATGTGGTCGTGAAATGGCTTGCTCTTGGGATGATTCCGAGGAGTCCCAAAGACCTCATTCGGTAAAATGTAGGAGATTGCTGTGCGATCCAATTTACAAAACATGCAAACGCATGCACCAATCCAATCGCTCACCTGAATAAACAACTCCTTCATGAGCTTCAAGTAAGAGAGCTGGCCGAAGTTCTTGTCAAAATACCTGAACTTCCCCCAATTCAATTCAGAGCGTCCTGAAACTCGGAGAGTACCGTATCTATGCACGTGTGTATATATACATATATTTATATCTATATAGCTCCCTCTTCTGTCAGGACTTCGATTGATGTCTGTATTCGGGCGACATTTCGTTGCCTTCAAGAAAATCTTTGCTTCCTTCCACGAGGGTCATTGACATATTAGGACTAATAATTCGAAGGCACAGAATTGGGCGTGAGCCCAGAAGACAATTTCCAGCCTCAACCCAGAAAAAATAAAACTCCTCAAAACATTCCGAGGACAGAAGCATTGGAAACTTCTACAGGCTATGCGATATGACTTCGACTTGCCATCTTCAGTTTCAACGAGCACTACATAGCTGGGGCAGGAATGACCTTTCTCAAATGAATCTGAGCCTCGCGCCAGCCTTACCTCTTGTGTTGTGTGAACGTTGAGCACCTGCTGCTCGGCGTCATTCACAAATGGTGGTTTGATGGTGGGTAAACGTCGAGGCGTCGTTCACAACTGGAACAGCACCTGGAACTTTATGCTGGGCCCGGAAGGAACTCGGCCAACCCACATGTACCTGTTAGTTGCCAAATCTACCCCAATGCGCCAGTGGCAGGCTCACGAGCCAAGGGCAGTCCGTGCTTCTAAGCTCCCCGATGCAGTCCAGTCGCAAGTCTTCGCGCTTCCGAGCTTCAAAGAAAACCACGTTGTTACAATTCTTCAACTCGCAAATCTGGCGACCAGTGGGCGACACAAGATACGGATGAACATAAAAGGCAAAGAATGTCATGGTTGATTGGAAATTGAATTGTCGGCGAACCTCGTTGATCTCGTTGAAATTGGATCTTTTCTCAAACTTCGGCTCCTAGAATCGGTGAGCCCACGGAGGCACAAGGGCAAACGCCAAACGAGGCTGCACACCGTCTTGTGGTGCGGCAACATCTTGCGAATGTCGTCGCAGAGGTGCCGAAACCTCGCAAAACGCTGGTGTAGCTGTGTAGCTGTCAGGTGATGTGTGAAAATTGCAGGAGGGGTTAGTAGAGGAGTGCGAAGCATATGGCAACTGGGCCTTGCAGTGACGCCACGGCTGCAAAAGACCAAGGCTCGCTGCTTGTTGCGCCAACGCGTATCCTTTTGGATGTACCTCATTGTTCATGCTCAGTCAGTGTAACACTAGCTATTTATATATATATATCTATTTGCGAAGCTTCCATGGCCGGAGCACGTTGCGTCTGCCATGAGATACCTTCAGCAAGAGACAATAAGTACCCATCTACCCTCACTAGGCCTGGCAAGAGCCACGAGTGGAATTTTCAAACCGTCCAAACCAGATCCACTCAGCTCCGCACGGATCAGCCTTTTCTGGCGGTTCTTCCTGCGCTTGCGACCTTTGGACCTACCTTTGGTGGTGTGAACACAACAAGCAAAATGGTCTGAATCCAAAACAGTAAAGATAGAAGAGCCAGACATGACTGAATAGATTCCAGAGAAGCTGATGCGAAGAGTCTCCATTTGGAATGAGGCAAACAGGCAGGGCCTATGCCCTATGTAATACCATGCATCATGAGCACCAGCGCCCAGCGCCCAGCACTGTGCAGTGTTTCTGCCACAGGTTGGCATGGCAAAGTCTTGAATACGAGCCACTCACTTCCAAAAGGGCCTTGGCAATGAATTCCATGGTCATAGAATCGAACAGTAATAACAAGTGCCACGCTAGTAGTAACAAGTGCCTTACTAGTAGTAACAATGTTTGCTATTAGAATTGAACTTAAATTTAAACTAAAAGCAAACATTGTTACTACTAGTAAGGCACTTGTTACTACTAGCGTGGCACTTGTTACTAGTAGCTTCTTATGGTCATAGAATCAAACAGTCGCTGTGGAAACCTCTAGCAGCATGTAATGGAAACGGGCCTTTTAGTGGGACCTGTCGTAGGACAACAGTCTACTATAGTGTCCATACGCCAACCCGCAGTTTGGCTGGTTATTCATGTGTTGTAGGACAAGCGCTCTACCTTGTACGGTGAAATCTGTAGAGACTGTCTCTGAGGAAGGGACCCATGGTTGACAGGCCGATTCCAGTATCGCTGGTTGAGTTGCCGGAAGATGGCATGGTATGGTGAGCACTGACGCTGGGTCTCGTTGACCATTGACCACACCTGCCAGCCATCAGCACCTCCTGTGAGGGAAGGCTGCGCTGGGTCGCTGCAGCGTCTCAGGACACAGTCACCGCCCTTCACCTGTGTGTTGAAGTTGACAAGGTTGCAAGATCTCTCAAAGCAGCTCCGGTGGCAAGTTTCCAGTGTCCGGCCGTCTCCATGACCAACGTAAGGGCAATCAGTCCCCAATGCAACTTGCTCTTCCTTCCATTTGATCCAGTGCCCGTAACGCCCGTAGGGTGTGTATGGATTGGTTTGATGGCTCAAGCCCCAGCCTCGATGAAAATCGAAGAAGCAAGCGGCTTCCTCCAGCTCACGTTTCATGTCCGCAATGCGCCTCAGTGGAATACCTCGAAGGTATTCCAGCAACTCGTGTCCAACATTGTTTTCGGGCCACTTGATGCTGAAGGCCTCAGGTCAACGGATGATCCTTCTCCATGCCCTGGCACTTTCAACACTGGCCATTGAAGGCAAGTGGCTGGCCAATCAACAATTCCCTGGAAGGGCACATCCAAGTAGTCTGAGAGGATCACGGGAATACCTAGTTTGTGAACTCACCACAAATTGGCCAATTTTCCAATATCGAGCAAGACACACAAAAAAAAAACATAGAAACTCATACAATGATGTCACTCGCAAGTGAATATGACTTTTAAGGCCGCTATGCGACAACCAAAAAAGAAGCTCTCGTAGAGGTGGATGGTCCAAGCCTCTGCTGTGCACAAAACGACTGTAACATGATGTTGATACTATGTTGCCATGCAGCGCAATCAAGGAATAATTTCCACTTAATCCACTTACAAACAAAAGCATGCAAAAAGTTGCTACTTGAGAAAAATGTGATTGAATCGTGCCATTTCAACCAGTACCCCATGACCTTCGGTATAGTCTTCCTAGTTATCTTCTATGTTTTGTGGGGTGATCTGCCGCTGGTTACTTGGTTTGTCAATTTTAGAGATTGGTCGCGACTCGCAGCGTTTCCAAATCAATCTCCAAAGAAACAGACATTGTGGCTTTCCCATTTGTGAGAATTGCCTTGAAAGAAATCCGTGAACTGTTTTACCTATCTGTTTCAATGATCAGTTGGTGCACATACTAAAGAATACCGTTGCACCTGTCTGTTTGTTGACTTGGGCGCACCTGTTTTGTTGAAAATGCTCTATTCAATAAAGGTGTTACATGCAAAGGGAAAGTGGAGATATTTGATTTCACCGACATTATTCGCCAAGGTGCAGAAGGTAACTATTTTCCTTTTGAAAAACCGAGTCAATTTGATCTTTACAACACGATGGCGAATATCAAAAGAATGTATCTGTCGTCTCATTAAAGGCGTGGTGCTGTGGTCTGCCGAAGCACTTGAAACTAGATAAGCATATGCTTTCGCGGCCAGGTGTTTAGAGAACCAGGACCCGCTCTGCTTGGCATATTTCCCACAAACTATGTTACCTTTAAACAAAATGCACCCGTAGGCAACTTTGTCTTGAAACCGGGCCCCCGAAGACAATTTTGCCTTTAAGCCCGGATCCCCGTAGACAATTTTGCCTCAAAAGCGGGTCCCCGTAGACCACTTTGCGTTTAAGCAAATACCCATAGACATGTTTGCCTGTAGGCTGGGTCCCTCAGGGGGCACGAATGCTACTCTCTTGCCACCCTTTCAAGCTGACGCGCATCGAACTTTTTTCCTTTAAACCCAATCCCCGTAAACGGGGTCCGCGTAGACAACGTAGACGTCCCCGTAGACAATTCGGCCTTTACACCGGGTCCTTGTAGACCATTTTACCTTTGAACCAGGTGCCCGTAGACCACGTTGTTTTTAAATTGCCTTTAAGCCGGGTCCCCATAGAGCCTTTTCGCCTTTAAACAAAATCTCCGTAGAACATTTTGCTTCTGAGCTAGGTCCCTCTCGGGAAGGGCGCGACTATGTTTCAGCCGGGTGCGCGTGAACCATTTCGCCTTTAAGCCGACCCGCCGTAGACCATTTACCTTTAAACCAGGTTCCCACAATCAGTTTTGTCTTGAAACCGGTCCCCGTAGACCATTTTGCCTTGAAGCCGCCTTTAAGCCGGGTCCCCGTAGACCATTTTGCCTTTAAACCTGGTCCCCGAAACACCCCCGGAGCCAAGGTCCCCATGACTGCGGCTACTTTCTCGAGGGCTGTCTGGATGAGGTCGACTGAGAAGGTCGACAGAGGATGTTCTCTGCGTGGAGGAAATGAAGTCGACAGAGGTTCAAGCGTATAAGCGTGGAGGACTGTGAGGGCGAAGCCGATGAAGCCAACGAAGGTTGAAGAGGTCGACGCAGAAGGTTCGGAGTCGATGAAGTGGACGTAGAAGGCGACTGCAAGGGCGACACCGATGAAGGCAACATAGACGGTCGAAGAGTGGGGGACTTTGAGGGCGCAGCCGACGAAGACGACACGTCTACCAAGCCGAAAGGCTACCTATGTTCCAAGTTCTACACACACCCACACCCACCCACGCACACACTCACATGCACATTGACATGCACGTGCACACTTTCTCAGTCTGACTATGCGCCCGACGGACGAGCCACGGGGCACCAGGCAAAAATGTGTTCTGCCCATTCCTGCAGGTATGCTGCAAAAGAACTGGCACAGCTCTCACATTGTTCAGCCACGGTGCGTTCTAGAAAATCCCCAACAGGACCGCCAACGCTGCAATCTGGTAGGCCCGAAAATGTGTCAAGTATGCGGGTTCGCACCTGACATCAACGTTGCATCTAAAAAAGTGCGGCTCGACATGCCGTAAAACAACAAGTACGTGGTATGTATGTTACACTTCATCAAGTCCACTCCACTGCTTCTTGGCATTTGATTTTGTTGGATGCTGAGGAGCAGCAACATTCTGAGCAAGTCGGATGCATTTTTTTCAACCCAGCTTGGATGCACAGCTTCTCGATCACTCTTGTGGCTCACTCGCGTTGCCGCCCATCACCTGCTGGCAAGCTCTGCACCTCAATGACACCAACATGTCTTACATTGCCCTGCACGTGATGCAAGGTCAAACCGCAAACTGCAATCCATTCTGCAACGTTGATTCAGGAATATAAAAACTACAGTAGTAGGACCAGGACAGGACTGGCAGTAGTTTCTGCTTTCTCTGGCAAGAGCCGATTGCCAAATCTCAAATTGTGGGTGATTTAAATCCAAGTACAGTGCGTAACATAAGTCTACCGTTGATGCATCAAACACCAGAGACCAAAGGGTGATTTGGGGGGTGTATGTTGTTTGGGGGGTGTATGTCAGGAGTTGAAAGGAGCTGATCAATTTGGGCACCTTCGGTCGTCCATGGCAACCCTAGGTGATAGCCTGAGTCAGTCGGCACTGCTCAGGTTCCAACTTCACAAGCTTCATGCCACGCGTTGCATCGGTGCAAATCTCCGAACAGTCCACTGGCAACTCGCAGCCTTATCTCTCGCCAAATGCTTGGCAAGAACTGCGAAAATTTGTCAAAACACATGCCTCAAGCCTGAAGCTGAAGGAAGCTTCGAGCGGAATTTTGGAATGGGAACGGTCCACTCAGAGAGACTAAGCCCCAATTCCAGCAGGGAACAGTACACTCGTAGGTCAGCAATGCCCATGCTATCCTTGGCGTCCTCGAATGAAGATGGAGGAACAGGGTGGTTTGTGGAAGGGTCATGTCGATTCCGGGCGGGCATCGCTACTGGAGGGCATCGCTACTGGAGGCCATCACTAGTAGGTTGGAGGGCAAAGCGTTTCAAAAATGTATCTCCAAGAAATATGTTTTTTCATGTTTCTGAAGGGTCGAGATCTTCCGGCTCCTTCACCAGATTCGCCTGAGCTCCGCATATCGCAGACCCTGGAACACATCGGAGCTCCTTTGACCAGGCGACCTGGAGACACGACAAAATTCGAACGCCGAAGGAAAGGAAGCACATTTGCGCACTTTCGGTGCCTCAAAGCTTGAGAAATTGGAGAAGCTCAAGCGGCTGATGTCGCTCATGTCAGGTTTTCCTTGGTCGGCATCAGCACCTGCTGTTCAGCTGGTCAGCTGCGACTTGGTCAACTTGGCCCAGGGCGACAGCTGAATTCAAGGCCTGTTATGCCGGCATTGTCCAAGCCCTTCCTGGCAGATCTCAACAAGCACCCCACCGTGCTTCATATAACCTGAATTTGACAATGTGACACGGGCCTGAAACTGTGACCTTGGGAACGGAAACCATACACACGTTGACCT